TTACTGCAGCCAAGCTGGTTATTGAGTAATTTCCAAAGTTCACGGGGTTTATTTTTGTTTTCCTCAGTTTTGTCATTGATGAAATTCTTTTTGGCAGTTTTGATCATGGAGCTTACGTCATTTCTTAGTCTGTTTCTTTCAATTTTTAGTTCAGTCACGTGGGCCTGGAGTTCACTGCTCGTGCTTTTGGAAAGCATTGACTGACTTTTATGAAACTCAGAGCATTTTTTGTCTCTGGTTTTCATGGCGGTCAGTATGCCGGAGTGCATCCACGGCTCAGCGCGATTTTTTACCCTGGTTGTTCTTAGGGGGGCCAAATCATTGAGTATTGCAGAGAATTTGTTTTTGAAACCAAGCCATGTTTCTTCAACTTGTGTACCACTGAGCTCATCTGACCAGTCCAGGCTCTCCAGTTCTAGGTTAAAGGCCTCGCTAGAGTAGTTTTTGAGGTCTCTAGATATGACTGTTTTGTGACAGCCGGCCTTTTGTTTTAGCTTTTTGCGGGTACAGAATATCATATAATGATCACTTAAACCGCATGCTATAACCCCTTTACTGGAGATCCTGGACCTGTCAGAGGTCAGAATGAGATCAATGGTAGTTTGTGTTGTTTCACATACCCGGGTGGGTTGGGTGATTAGCTGGCTGAAGCCGTGCAGATCACAAATCCTACTGAAGGACTTGAAGACGGACGTGTCTTTACGTTGCATATCCGTGTTCCAGTCTCCAATAATAATTGTCTCTACATCCCCCACATCAGCCAAACACCCATCTAATGTATCATAAAAGTCACTCTGTTCCGGTGGTCTATAGATTGTCCCGACTATTACAGATTTAGCATTGTCAAAAAGAATTTCAACCCACACAGATTCAATATTTTCATGATGCAGGTCAGTACGGTTTTTGAAATTGGTGTCTTTATGTATGTACATGCAGACACCACCTCCATTCACGTTCCTGTCCCTTCTCACTACAAGATAATCTTCAATTTCAATCTCTGAATCTGTAATGGAATTGTCCAATTTGGTCTCAGAAAAGCATAATATGCTTGCCTTACCGTTCATGAACAGTTGCCTGAGTTCAGCCAGTTTGTGTCTCAGGCTGTTAGTGTTCAGATGAAAAATATGTAGTCCATTTTTGTTGTTTAAATGCATAATGTAGTCAGCTTGAAGATATTTGTCTTTGTCCGTTACAGCAAACGGCTTGCGGCCTGCCGTGGTGCTTGGAGCGGTGGGGTGGTGGGGGGAGGGAGGCTCCGTTGTAGCTTTAGCCGTCGATATGCTAGCAGGGTGGCTAACAACATGGTGGATATTTGTTCCCTCGGATCTCGGTTCTCTTCCTCTCGTCACTGCCTCATGCGTGTCTGTCTGCCGAGGCGTCCCCGGGGGAATGTCGAAGTCTCCGTTGATTCCTCGGTCTCCGCTGTCTCCGCTGTCTCCATGGTCTCTGTTGTCGTCGCGTAGTTGTTGCTGTAGCGGAAGAGATGCTAGTTGTGATGCTAGTTGTGATGCTAGCTCCTCGAGCCTGCAGGAATGGCTTCTTGTCTGCACCGGGCCCGGATTCAGATGGATGTCTCCCGCTAACAATAAGACCAAGACGATCATACTTCTTCGGTCTAGTTTGCCTGACGGGGGTAAGTACTTTCGCGTCGGGTTTGCAGTTAATAATGCATGAATGCTTGCACTTCCAAAAGCGAGGTGTTTCCTTTCCCAGCCGTTGAGAAGGTAAAAGTCATTGTGGTTCATTTTATCCCTGCTTTCACTACTCTCCTTCTCTAAGTGATGTTGCCTCATTGATGAGTTGAGGTAGGAGTCCATAATCCATATTGTCAGGAGGATGAAATATGTAAAAAATCGTGAGGAATAACCTCCAAAGCGGGAGCTCTCGAAAATGCGACCACTCATAGCGAAACCGGAAGTTAGTTCTGCACTACATTTCCCAGAGTGCAGTGTGCTTCCTGTCTGCAGTGTGTGTGTGTCACTGCGGTACGGGTGTTGTTGGTGATGACGGGGGTCGTGTTGTAGTTGTCGTCGTGGTGCTGATCCAATTGGCTTCTTCCAGCTGGAGGGCGGAGCTCTGGGGGCGGGACTCCTGCTGCTCCTCCCCCACACACACCTGCACACACCTGAGCAGACTGAGACGCACCGCCGCCCTGTACCTGCTACACACACACACACACACACACACACACTTGATTGATTGTCCTGCAGGTGTGTTACTCACCTCTGGGTCAGGTGTGTTTGACTCACCTCTGGGTCAGGTGTGTTACTCACCTCTGGGTCAGGTGTGTTTTACAGGTGTGTTTGACTCACCTCTGGGTCAGGCAGGTGATCCAGGGGTTCAGGGCGGTGCTGCTCAGAACCAGCCAGGTGGAGAGAGCTGAGATCACTGATGGACTCTGATGACCACTGAACGTCTCGTACACACACACCGTCATGTAGGGCAGCCAGCACACCAACACACACACTGAGAGAGAGAGAGTATACATATACAAATATTA